CTCTTAAACATTTCAACAAGGGGGCAACTGGTTTTCACTTTCAAAACTTTTTGAACTGAACTACTTTATGAGAAAAACTTTTCTCTAAATGGGCAAACCAGGCAGGCAAACCATCCTCTCAGCTGGTCAATTTGCTTGGTGCCTGGAACTTAATGAAACCCCTGTCTTAGAATCATGAATTAAGTTATTATAATAAATAATAAAAAGTGGAATTTGATCGACCCTGCCCCAGCATTTAAGAGAAGTCTGATAACAGCCAGAAAAAAAAAGTTTATTTTAGATCCGATATGCTGCTCATTTTCAACATGGTTTGGCCATGTATTTTCTGTGGGACAGTTTTTGTCTGTCCACGGTCCCCTTCTAAAGACAACAACATGATATTCTGAATTTTTGCCTTGTTGTCCATTGTCACACGTTTTACAGAACCTACGTACACCAGCAACGTTTTCATTTACAGTCTCTTGCATCATTGTATTCAGACTGTTTCTATTTTAGAGATCTAAATAATTACCATGTACTAGCCCAAACTTCATAATTCCTATTATAATCCATCAAATCGTTTGCTCGCAAGGGATTGGTCTGAACAAGTCATGTGATATTCCCCACTTTTCAAAATGAGCATGTTGCAAAAAATATTTGAAGAATAATTAATACAATAACCTCCATTTGGCGTGAAAATATGCTCGGATATTTGTCCTTGGACATTATCTGTTCCTCAATTAGTTCACAGTTTTCCTCAAGCTACGTTCTCGGAAAACTGTTCGCTTCTCCGAACAGATACATGTAATGTCCGTACACAAATACCTGAGTATATTTCCATGCCAAACGGAGGTTACTGTTTATCTATGTACAACAAAAAAAAGAAACAAAAACTTTTCTCGCTCTTGTACTTACAATTTTTTATATATATCTAACTCACACACACATACTGTTAGTATTAATAAAGTACAAATATTGAGCCTGGAGGCTAAATAACTGGGAAGTCTACAAGTTAGCCTCCAGTTTCATTAAGTTACTACTGAATAAGACAAATCAAAGAGAACAGAACTAAAAAAAAATGAGTAAATAAGTAAATAAATTTAGAAACTTTAAGTAGATTTTAGGACAAGGTTTCAAAGTGTTGTTCTGACAGCACACAAATATAATTTTTTTGGAAAAATTAGAGACATTTAGGTTTTTAAGTCTACAGGGATATTATCCCAGAGAACAGATGCTGAAAAGGAAACTGATTGTTTTCCAGGGTTAGTTGAACTTCCCTCTTTAGGTTTATATAAATTTTGTTTGGAAGCATATCTGGTGTTATACTCATGACTACTTCTTGCATATTGAAAATAATTTATCTAGCCACCAAAAAGTCTGTCTCTTACAGTACTCCAGTCTGTAGTTTGAATTTCCTCATGTTATTTAGATTATTTGATTTGTAGTTTAGTCGGGTCAGGGAAGGTTTATTCGGGATATTTTTTTAGGGGGTTGGGTGTGGGCGTATTAACCAAGTAGGGAACTTATGTCCTATTGTTAAGCACCTGTACTTGTACGAATCCTAAAATAAATAAATAAATAGACATATATTTCCCCAAGAAACTTTACAAGTTTCCTTAAAGTCAGGTAACAGACAGAATCCTCAAGCCCTACTGGAAAATCCACCAACTTTGGGCAATTGGACAGGACTTCCTTTGCACATTTGCATATTTTTCAAAGGGATATAGGACACTCTTTGTGCAAATACCCAAGAATGCAAAATACATTTAACATTATTCAAATTAACATTTAGAAGCTGTTTAATAATCTTCACGAATGGATTTTACTATGTTATCCAGAACTTTGTNGTTAGTTGAACTTCCCTCTTTAGGTTTATATAAATTTTGTTTGGAAGCATATCTGGTGTTATACTCATGAATACTTCTTGCGTATTGAAAATAATTTGCAAATTGAAAATAATTTATCTAGCCACCAAAAAGTCTTTCTCTCACAGTACTCCAGTCTGTAGTTTGAATTTCCTCATGACATATATTTCCCCAAGAAACTTTACAAGTTTCCCCAAAGTCAAGTAAAAGACAGAATCCTCTAGCCCTACTGGAAAATCCACTAACTTTGGGCTATTGGACACTCTTTGTGCAAATACCCAAGAATGCAAAATACATTTAACATTATTCGAATTAACATTTAGAAGCTGTTTAATAATCTTTGCAAATGGATTTTACTATTAAGTGTTATCCAGAACTTTGTTGTCCTCTCATCATAACTCAGGAAAAATGGTAATTAACAATTAGATTCTGAGCTCAAGATTTCTATTGCATGATAGTCAACTATCACACATAGAAATCGAGAGCAAAATATTCTAATTGTTTTGGCATTATCAAATCTACTAGTCGCTCAAAATTTTATCTAAATCCTCTTCAGACAGCTTGAAAATGCAAAGAAGCGGCTGTCTGTTTCGTTAACAAGAGCACACTGCTACGCTTGACTATCTACAACAGAATAGATAGTGAGTAGCGTAGCCAATCAGAGAATGGTATTTGTGATAGAATGCTAGACAGATGATTTATACTAATCCATATTATAAACACATTCACAGCTGCTACTACAGTAACTGAAATAATCATGTGTAATAATTATTGTCATGTGTGCGTGTCCAATCAATGCAAATGAGTTAATGTGCAAATATGTCACAAAAATAACATCGAAATGTCCGGCAAAAAAAAAAATATTGCTCATGGGGCAATTTTATTCAAGCCAATGGAAAGCGATAAAAATGTAAGGTTAAGAGAGCTGAAGGTGAAGAATGTGACTCAAACTTCCTGACTGAAAATGCTCAACAAACCAAAATCTTCACCAGTAAATAGCTTCCTGCACAATCAAACCAGTTTGTGTGTCTTTTAATTTGAATTAATTTATTTCATCAAATTCAAGGTAATGACAGAGTCCTCAAAACTGGTAAATGCTTCACAATCTAACCAGATGAAACAGATTGAAATGCTTACAGACAGTGCCTGGCTTTTGTTGAAAGAAAAGAAACTGAAAACTCACCCACAACCATCAAGGTAAACTCAAATCCCTTCTTCACAGATTTTCGGTGGACTTGATTTGGTAGATTAGCAAATCCCACATAGTTGGCCATGGCTGCTTTAAGTTCCTTAGGAGAGAAAATCAAAATATGACACGCCAGCAAATGGAAACCTGTAGACTGTGACACAGCTAGTGTTGATTAATTAAGTATGTGTATTGTTTCTCAAATGCCAAAAGCTGTAAAGTTCAACAGGAAATGAATGAATTGATCTTGTTAAATTGGAATTATGATCTTATAAGAGATCCATTTCAACAGCAGAGAAAAATTCATTCAACTAAAATGTAGTACTACATAAATTTATCATAGCACAAGAGTATAATTTTAAGGCCTCATTATAAGTTAGACATACAACGTATATCAGCTTAAAGGCTGCACTTCCATACCATCTCACTCCACATGCAAAAGTCCTCTTTCAAAAGACATGCATATATATTGTATACTCTGCTCATTGTGACACATGATACATTAATATGTCTTCACGTTGTTTAGTTTGATCACATGCAGGTAGCATGATGACCCAACAGTGTTATCTTTCACAAGGTTAAAATTGTTTACAATTGAACATCAACATCCTTTTGATGACATGAGAATTAGCAAAGCAATTAACTGCTGTAATCAACAATTCTTCACTTGAGAAAGGAATTAATGAGCTTAACTCCTCACTAAATCAATTTTTCAGCTTGTACCTGAAGGAATTTTGGGGGCACATTAACCATTGACATGATATAGAATATACAGTACATCCAGCTCAAACCAATGTTGCACAAAAGAACATTTTAGTGACCCAGCTGATCAATACATACACTGTAGACACAGAGAGAAAGTGATGATATGAAATAACACAGTGGAACTTTTAGAATCTTTGGAATGTTTAAATTCAAGACAATCTTCACTAACATTTGAGTAAAGACCAGTTTTGAAACTAAACAAATTTCTGCCAGTTTTTAGCCATTCCAGTGATATGACTTTTTTCTCCATGCTTAAAAAAGACCAATATCGTATAATGGCATGGGTGGCCCGAGGGAAGAGGGTTATTACTTACTACTTAATATATAAAAGAATTAATAATATATTTGAAATGTTTTTGTGATTTACTAGAGATCAAACAGAAATCTAGCAGAATTCACTTTATTCTTGTATATTCTACTTGTCATACACCATAGTTTAAGCCATTGGTATTAACTTTTTCACATCACATCTGATTTGCACAAAATACATGTTTTAATGATTTTCATTTTTTTTTTGTTCACAGTTTCCATTGCCATTAGTTATATACCAATTTTCAATTCATTTCCAAATACTGGTGTAATTTTTATGTCAATCCAAAAACGGGAAGACTGTTAAAAAGTTGTTTGCAAATGCTTGGTGTGGTCCAGAAAAAATTTCCAATGTCCTAAAAACATATTATATATAAAAAAATTATTAAAAACTGGGTTATGAGCCTTTTTACTTTTATTTTAGTTTAGTTTTCATATTTTGGGGGCATTTTTAATAAAACAATTATTCCACTCGCACTTATTGGATATGAAATGATTATAGCCAACTCATATCCAATGCACGCTCATGGAATAATAACCTTATTTTTCTAAAATGATAACAGAAGATCAAAAGGCCACAAGTAATATACTAGTTGAAAGGTATTGTTTGGGATATATCCTAAATCACCACAACAGACATACAAGATGTCACAAATTGAATTGAGGAGTCTGCAAAGTAAAAAAATGAAAACATTCAAAAATACCTTATTCCTTGTATATATTGGGTGTGCCCCTAAACAATAGCTTAATTTGCATCTCTGGGTGTGTAGATTTTTACCAGATATTCACTTGACCGTAAAATTGTAACACACAAAAGTTTCAAAAACTTGAGGGGTGGTTAATCAAGTCTGTTCAGGAGGGGATATGATTTCATGCTTTCAATGTGAAGATCTCTC